GAATATATTTTTAGTGGCTATATACCGAGATGGCTTTTTAGATTGTCGGCCTTGCGACCGGACTCGTTTGTTTACGTAATCACTTATGACGAGAGGCAGTGTGTTTTTGAGATGTTCGATGAAAAACATTCGTTACTATTTGTAGAAATGTGGTTTCAGTTCGTCGCTTTAGTTATCGTCTTCGTATTTTCTGTCATGTTGATTTTTTTTCATCTGCGAGTGTGAGGGCTGCCGTATTATTTTTTTATCTAAATGTTGAGTTAAATTGTAGCGATTGGATACTAGATTGTGTAATGATGCATGAAGTATTCTGTACTATTGTAAACGTGTGTAATATTATACAGTATATTCTTTAGCGAACTGCATGCATCTACGTGTATAATAGTATTCTCTTTTGTTGCATGATGTGTGGGAAAAAATCCTACGCATTTCAAAGCGCCTTCATTTTCTGTACACATGATCGTATTTCGTTGCAAAATTTTGTGCGTTGGAGCGTGTGCTTAACGAGGTAACATTCACGTGTTCCTCTCGTGCTAGCGAGAAAGAATCCCCTTTCCTCTAAAATGAAAAATACACCTCGTTCGTGGTGTTTTCATTGCATCTGTATTTCGACCCGAATACATTTTCTTGCAGAAATATGAATGCTTTTCCGCGTACGGAGCTGCCTCAGTACTCCCCTTCAAACCTTTATTCGCTAGTCTGTTATCACGCAGTCGCGATGCAAGATCGCATGAATGGAGGGCTCTTCACCTCAGTCGTTACACGGTCTCTGCATTGTGCTCTCTGGTAATACCCTGCGACTCGCTTCTAAAGTATCCGCAATGTGTTGCTATCACGCGTCGCGTTTTCTGCAGCGGAAATTCACTCCAACAGCGTATCCCTCGGAGCCCAAAGTTTATTGTCTCTCTTACGCCGTATGTCGTCTTCCCACGCATTAGGTAATGCCCTTTTAATGCAAAATGTACTCGTGTTCTTAGCGCATAGCTTTGCAACGGTTGGGCTTCCACAGAAAATAGTATAGATTCGTGAGAATATTGCAGAACTGGCATTTAGATTGAATAACGTTTTCTACGAGTGGGGAAATATATGGAGAAAATGTTTAATAAGGGGATATATTGTATAACATTACACCGTGTGTAATTTTAAATTAAAACGTTTTTAGTTTAAAAATAGAAGTATGTCGTTATTATGTAGCGTGTTCCAACATTGTGTGTGGTAAACTATTAACAAACTGTAAACCGCATCTCAAATTGCGAAAGATCCTTTTCTTTCATCCTTGTGCATACTTGCCACTTACTTACCTTACTGCCACACGAAATTTGATTGACTCAACTTGCGGCGCGGAAGATCGTCTCACTCAACCTGCTGCGCAGAAAATCGTCTTACTCAACCTGCGGCGCAGACATTCGTCTCACTCAACCTGCCGGGAGGAACTTTGTGTCACTCAACCTGCCGCGCGAAAGTGTGTGTCAGTCAACCTGACCCTCGAAATCGTCTATCTCAACCTGCCGGGAGGAACTTCGTGTCACTCAGCCTGCCGTGTGTGAGTTCGTCCCACTCAACCTGCCACTCGAAGTCGTGTACCTCAACCTGCCGGGAGGAACTTCGTGTCACTCAGCCTGCCGTATGTGAGTTCGTCCCACTCAACCTGACACTCGAAATCGTCTATCTCGACCTGCCGGAAGAAACTTCGTGTCACTCAGCCTACCGTGTGTGAGTTCGTCCCAGTCAATCCGCCACTCGAATCCGTCTACCTCAACGTGCCGCTCGCAGCCCCATGTGCGGCAACGTGGTGCAGGCGCGCGTCAACCGCCGGGCGCGCTCCGCGTCCCGCTTCTGGTCGGAGGGCGGGGCGAGGGCGTGGCCCGTTGGGGCGGGGGCGGCAGCAGACAGCCGCTGCTGCGGGGCTGCGGCGGGGCCGTGGCAAAGCCGCCTCCGCCTCCCCAAGATCCCGTGGGAACGCGGCGAGCGGGGCCACGCGGCGGCGTCAAAGAGGCGAGCGCCGTCGCCCAGGGCCCTCCTCAACTCTCTTCGCTCATGCCATAGGTGCGGCTGGTGGGACGAATCCTAATGTTATTTCCCCTAAAACAAACCGCTTTCATCTCATCCCGGTTCTATAATTCTATGGTGGTTAGGAAGAGATAGTTGTAGAGAATGAAGAATCTTCAAAACCACGTTGAAAAAGTCTATACACTGGTATAAGAAAAGGTAGAAACCTGTAAATTTGAAGTATCTGTTAATTGCCTCAATAGTAATTATTGTGTTCGAATTATTTTTATAATGTGACCCGCCATCAATGCACTCTCCTTGTTAAGAAAAATAAAATGTTTGCTGTCATAACTGTTGATTCTAATGTCAGAACGACATGTTGTTCTAATGTCAGAACAACGAAGCCATTCCCTAAAATTGAGCACTTGTTTCCCTTAAAACTCCTCTAATTTCACGTGAAGGCTAATATTAGTGGAAGTGTATTTAAACCGAGAGTAAATTTTGAACAACGAAGCATAGTAAGAAAATCTGATAACCCTGTGCAAAAATCATATGTCCAGTGTGCTCTAAAATGTTAAAATAAATTACCGTACTTACACCCATAGTATAATGCGCACCTTTTTTGACTAAACGCAGTACTCAAAATTGTGGTGTGGATTACAGTTGATGAGGATTTAGATTTGAGTGCAAACCCATTCCGTTGTGAATAATGGCGAATCAGGTTTCAAATAAATTTCATTAATAAATTAATTTTGAATGTGAACTTCCCTAATTTCATGTTCATTAACTTTCTCTTTAACAAAGTGTCACCTAACATTAGGAATTTTTCAACTTTATAATTGATCGTATAAAGTCACTGTTGTATTACATAAATTTAAATCAAATATCGTACGCATTATTCGGTCATTGATGCGCACGATATTCGATACAAACGCTTTGTTCATATTTTTAAATTTAAAATGTGGGATGCTCTTTAGATTGGATACCCCTTTAGATTTTCGTAAATTCAGTATATAAGGTACTCGTTGATACAAAAATATAATAAGAAAAAGGTAAAACTTTATAGTTCTGAAAAGGAATAGGAAGAGGAATAGTTTTGAAGGGAATTATATTTTAAAATGATTTTTTATTAAATTCCCGTATTTGTCAGGATTTGACAAATACGAGTGACGAACATACAAAGTTTCGAGTTGCGAATCTCGAATGTGGGATCGACCCTTTCTAACTCTCGCTGTCGATCGTTCGCGAGGCGAGGTCGACGCACGGACTTTGAAGCGGTGTAATTTGTAAGTTCCTCGAGGCGCCTTTGATGTGAGACGTTTCGTTTGAAAACTGGTGTTTTTCCGCGGCGATCAAGGCGTTCGCAAAAAAAGCAGTTGGCACAGTAAAGGAGTTACGAGAACGAAGCGGAATGTAGCGAAGTATGACGCAGTGGCGTGAAAATTCGAGTCATTAATGCGAATGAAGAGAGATTCACGCCGTATTCCCTTTACGTATTCTAATTTCTCGCTTAAAATGCGTAATTTTATTTAAATGTAGAACGCTAGTGTTGTGAAAGTGAAATTCACATCGTATTTCACAGCACGTGCACGCTTATGTGTGAAAGGCTTGCTAGAGTTGCTTCACGCAGGGCACATGAGAAAAAAATACCTGTTTTTAAACAAAATATTTCTTTATCAAGAATCCATTACACGCACACTATCGGTTAAAAAGACCAGATATTCCAATTTTATTTTAAATGCAACGATCACTCAATTCATCAAAATTATTTGATAAAGTATATTGTCGTTATAATTCAACGTTTAATTATGTCAGTTTGTGAAACAAGTAATATAAATATTTATATTTCATAAAACTATTTGCAGTTAGTCAACTTTACGACTGAAACAGGGTCAATGTTCTAGATATGAAATTCAAAATGTAAAATATTTATTGCTGACTCAAAAATATACATTACTATTATTTTGATGGTTATTATATTTTCTTTATATTAATCGAGTTCATAGCTGGGTCTACGCTTTATAATAAGTTATTTCTTCAACATAAAGTGGGAAATAATAGACTCTGAAGTCGTATTGAAATTACAAACCAACTGTGATAATTGATAACGCCGGGTAATAAAGTATTCAATATCTGAAAAATATTTTTATCACATTGATGAAGAAAATGTGGTAGTGGATCAGTAAACAATTACAAATATCGAATGTCTATTTTGTTTTCGACGCTATTATACATAAGGTGGAAAGTAGAAATGTCAGTTGAAATCCACCTCATTTTAATAAATGTGGAACTTTTGAGTAACCTGATTGAAGATGAAGGTTCTTACAAACTTAATCGCGAAAACGTTCTCGCTTCTCAGGGTCGGTCGCGTCCGGTTTGCCTCTTGCTTAATCTGAAATATCTACTTAAGTTCTGATCACACCGTTTGCTAATCGGCCTTTTCTTTTTCTCGCGCGTTTTCTTCATCTATTATGTGTTAATGGGCAATCCACAATAAATTAATACAACTCTACACTACGATTACTTGCTTTCTATATTATAATGAACTTATGACCAATTCAGATGTATTGGATCCTATAAATGATTTTCTGTTTCGAATTTTGTGAAGACGATTTAATATAATTCATTAAATGTGGCTCGTGTATAATGTGATAATTTGTCTAATGAGAACATTAATCACGGTAAGGTGAAACATAAATTCTGCAGTGTTACATTGCTTAATGCGGAACCTTGTCTAATACGAAAAAAATGGTCCCTAGAGATACCGCTTTGAGCAAGTGTGACAGTATTTGTTAAGAATTGTGTGTCAGAAATTTGGCCTTTCTTCGAAATTCTGAAAAGACTGGGATTTTTTGCAGGTTATGAAATAAATTGTTTGCGAGGTAAGTGGTGTAATGATCAACTGTTTCCAAATTGAATTCAGTTTGTAGGTGTTTGATGTATACCATGAAGCATTTTTCTATTTATCTTAGGTATTGATTTCGAATAACATGAAATTCTGTGTGTTACAGACGCATCGCCTGTGCGCCGGCCGCCATCCGCGGCGAGCGGGGCCGATGGTGGCGCCGGCGGCGACTCCCCGAAGCTGCGGCCTCGCGCCGCCACCGGCGTCGACGCCCACGCCAAGCCTGCGCTGGACACCTCCGGGGTGAGTTCCCCTTAGCAACTGCATAAGACACAGTTCCAGTTGCGACACCAAACACATTACGAAACAAAAATATTTTTAAACCTAATAGATTCCGCATAAAATACAGGTAATCTATTTGTTTATTTAACGTAAAAAGAAACAGTTGAAACTGACGTCCCAAGACGTTTTCTTAAGCTCTTGGATGTCTGTTGTAACTCACATACATGAAGTGAATAATAAATACAGGTAGCAAGAAACGTTTTTTGCAAGAGTTAATAAGAAAATATTGGCCTCTCTTTAATTAAACGTTATTTTCAATGGCAAATCAGGTGCATCTTTTAGCCATTGTCTTCTATGTTACCCTTCTTACCCCCAATTTTTTGCCGCGAAGACACGCAGAACCATTATTTGATCATCTCAGTATTTTCTCAAAAGATCAGGAAATTGAAAGGACAAAAAATTTAATCGATTTGAAGATCGAGAATCGAAAACAAATTCTTAAGTTCAAAATAAAACACAAATATTATTGAATGTTTTTGTTTTATTTTTTAAAATTATTTTTCAAAAAGATCTGCAGCTGGTTGCTGCTTTACATTATTTTGTTGCCATGTTTAACGTGTTGACATGTTGAACGTTAGCTGTGGTGGGAGACGGGTGTTGCCGCTTACTCCGCGCTCTATCAAGTTACGATATAGTTACTTCAAAACGATAAGCGGATAACAACAACAAATCATACGCTACTCACAATGCCCGATCATGCGTTTCATTTTATCACAATTTACCTCACTCTTAACACTTGTAATGATTCTCAGCTGAATATCTACGTCATTCAAGTCATGCAATTTTTTTGTTGTAATTTGAGATGAAAACACTCTCCAAATGGCGAAGCTTCTGATTTGCTGTTCCTTAGATTACGGCACTGGCGTTACCACGTGACGACGACCACATTCTAATTTTATTCGTTGTGTATGAACTAAACGCCTCCGTGTTCTTCACAAGCAAACAACTCCATATAGAAACATAACTAAAACCTATTATTAACTTCATCACCGCTCAAACGAACTCCTCCCTCCCCCCCCAAAAAGCTTCAAATTTCTCCCACTAAAGTTTTTTATATAAAGAGATCTAGTTCTTCTATTTATTCTGAAAGACTCATTTCAATTAAACTAGTGTCATCGGATCTAAAATTTGAGAAAATGTGGAAACATACATGTATATTTTGATAAAACACATGCATTTCCTTGCTATATAGTATTGCGTGGGAGAAAACTAATCCATTGTGCTAATTGAGAAGGTCTATAAACAGTAGTACATTTTCTGTAAAGCTCATTTTCTGAAAAGTATTCGTTATTGGGCACTCGGATATGGATTTTTAAAACTAAAGATATTTCTAAGCATTGTTGCGGCGGCAACGAATGATGTTGAATGCCTTTCAGATAATGATTTTCAATGTTGCGAAGTACATTAATGGTACTGTACGCAATAAAAACATCCATTTTACGTATAAAGTGGGTTTGAAGACATGGAGTACGTGTTTCAAGCAGTTTCATGAAAAGAAATTTGCATGCGATAGCTGTAATAAACAATATGAATATATGAATTCTCTGTCTGAATTAAAACTCCAGGTGTTTCAGTGATTTTAAGGGATTACGAGCGTATAATGCAATCTTCATTTCTGCGCGTAAATCTATACGAGTGTGATAAAGTGAAATTCTCTTTGATCACTACGCACCCTGCCGGAGGACTGTATCCATTGAGCCATAATGATGTTGGTTGGTGACAGGGGGCTTTGCGATGACTGCAGCCAGCGGGGTCAAGGACTCGCTGGAGTGGTCCCTCCGAAATTAGAGCGGGCCGAGATAGCAATTCGGGCGACGCGCGTGGGATTACGGCTCTGCGAGGGTTAGTGACGAGGGCGGCTGACGCGTCTATCGCAGCCCGCGCTTTTCCAATTTGGACGCGGAATTGCAGCGTAGACCTCGCCGTCTCGTTTGGTTAACAAGCAACTAGTCGCGTTTGGCGTCGCACCAGGGTTGCATGGTGTTCGCAGATGGAGCATGGTGTTTGCAGGTTATCTCGTTGACCTTTATTTCTCTTGTGTGAAGAAAACAATATAAGCAACAAAAATGTAAAATGTCACACTGACAATATGAAATTCTATACATACATATATAATACTAGGAGTTTTCCTTTGGAAAGATTTAGTACAGATTTTTTACTCAACCAGATTTAATTTTTTCTTTAAATGAAAGGTAGTGAACCCTGTCATAGAGATGTCGTTACTTGCGCTTGGGGACCTTTTTCATAATTAAACTCTAAATATTAATAATATCTGAAAATTAATAAATAAAAATGAACACTTACTTTCCATCATTTGTTCATTACTTCCTTTTATTGTGCAAGTTGCAATAGATCTATCAAAAGTAGTCTTCTTTCGTCTTGGTGCGATCAAGCATGAGATCGTGATGTTATAGTTAGAGAAGCGTTTAGAGCAACTGTTTTAAACGCAAAGATCAGCGAGTGGGAATGACGTTCTCTTCCATAGAGGGCTATTCGTCACCGCGTTTCCCCCCTAAAAAACTGACAAACCGGTTGCAACCTGCTATGCAACGAAGAGCAGAATTAGGAAGGCAGCGGATTCTAATAGTCCCTCAAATGCATGATGTATTTCTCTAAGTGAACTTCCGGCCTCTAGTGATCATATGAGAAAAGACTTCAGGTAATAAGTTAAATGTTTTTTAAATGGAATTTTAGAAACGATTTAAGTGTGATATGCGATGCCGGTACTCCTCAGAGAATAAACAATGTTAAGTTATTTTTGGATCTTATTACAATCGTCTATTTAATTAGTAATATATTGTACAAGCCGGCACTTTATTATCCCCTTCAAGAGATCGTGATATTCCACGTTGAACTCCGATTTCTATGCACAAAAATTTCTTCCCTTTGATCGCGGCGTTTTTCGTTACGATTACACAATTCGTCGTTAAAATAAGACACACGAAGAGGGCGCTTCAGTTTATGGCGTGGAAGGTTGCTCTCCGCTGCTCCCCGTTGTTGTTGTCCAGGCTGCGTTTCCGCGCATTGCGCAGCGGCTTCGCCCGATCTCTTGCACTGCCCCCGCAACGCAGACGGCTCAAAAAGAGCAGCACAAAACAGCAATGCGATCTCCACGAGTTGGGACGAAAAACACTTTTATGTTTCGATTGCACTTTGTTGAATGTTTGGTAAAAGTTGCCTGTTGCGTAAAAGCTGGAAAAGTATATTTGGTAGCGAACGTTACGAAATGGGGTTCACAGGTAATGTTTGCATGTAGGTATGATGTGTGGAATTTATGAAAAAGTGGGAGATTCGTAAAAGTCATAAAGTTGGTAGCGAGACAATTAAAATAATAATAATATTAGGAAGAAACGAATGGAAAGCAAAGTGGTGATTATTTGTCTTTATCTTAGAATAAAGGAACGAATGATTGTGTGAATAAATACGACGTGAATGAACATGTTGTGTATGAACTAATTAATTAATTAATTTGTTGAATGTCTGAATTATTATGTTAATTAAGTGATAGAGTAAATGAGTTATTATGCTAATTAATATGTTATGAATGAATGAATAAGATGTGAATGAATAGGTATGTGAAAATCTAATAATGAATATTTGCTTGAATTCATTAAGATATTTTAATTAATAAATATCTATATAATTGTACAAATGCATGAATAAACGAAGGTGTGCCAGACCGAGCGATTTGCGCGTCGTCTCGCCGTCAGCGTGTTGGGATCGGGCGGCCTGCAGAATGTCCGCCCGCGCGCGGCGTCAACGCGACAATGACTCAGCGCCTATTTCGGGGCAGGTTCACGCGCACAGGACGCCGCCGATGAGTTGTCGATGCGCCGACGGCCCCAAGCAAGCAAGCAAACCTCGGGCTCTGTGCGGAAGACTGTTTCAGTGCGTACGGCTTCTGGGTGGACGCTAGAACGCACTGTAGTGCTCTTTTGGCGGAAGATGTTATTTGCTTTTACGAAACGCATAAATATCGCAACTCCGTTAACATTGTTTCTCATGAATACATTTTCCCTCACATTTATCGTATTTTCCATCAGATCTTTAGAGTAAAGTACGATGCCAAATCGCATCAGACAATGGTGTATTCTTTAGCGTGAGTGTGTCTCTATGGAATTTGTCCATTACGCGAACGAACTTTTGAAAATAACTTTCCGGTAAACGTCGGATCAAAAGAAATCGCTTGGCGAGATTAAAAGATGATTTTCATTGTCATATGTTCTTTCCTTCTGTATTTCCTTGTCAATTTCGCATAAATTAACGGGTGAGAACCAAAAGGGTGTAAGTGACATTTTACAAATTCTGAGAAAAACGTGTTTATTTTAAGCTATATTTCAGTGGCAATGTACTTTCGTGGTTTTTATGAAAAATTGAAATGCCGTAGATGTAATGATGAAACAAAGCACCACGGCTTTACAGAGATAGTGACTTAAACATATTTCTCAGAATTTATAAAATGTCACTTATACTGTTCTGGTTTTCACCCATTCACTAGTCGACCACGCTATGTTAATGAATAAAATCCATTATATGACTTCTAGAATTCTAGAATTTTCCGGTTGGGGAACTAATATTTTCAATTTATTATAAAATATTCTTTAATAACTTTACTAGTAATTCATTATATTCGTTTATTATTGGTGTAAAATTTTTTTAAAATATTATTGTTATTTTATTATATTTAAGTATTTTCCTTTCTTACTTTTACGCCATCGACATCATACTCATCGAACGGCAATTTCTTATGACATTAGACCCAAAATCTCATTAAATTCACTTCTTTCTTTAGTAATATGCTTTTGTATTTATCCTTATATAGTAGCCTGCGTCCGTCCGTCACTTTCAGTTAGATCTCTTTCGGCACACCAATCGAGGCAGGTGTCGTTTGACTGGTCCCTAATTCCTGATAATTTTTTGATAATACAGCCAGAAAATCGTATCTAAGACATTTCTCTGAA